GCAACAACTCCCCACCAAGCGCCCACGAGTTGGTAATCGAACGCATTAGAGATATGGTACTACGACCCCTCTGCGAATGGGCGTTATACAAATTCCAGGTGAGTGTAGTCGATGGACGCATGAGCTCGATATTTGTTTGAGTTTCTAACGGCAAATCTTCAGCGGCGCGTTGCATGGCAGCCTCCAGTCGTAATGCGTGATGTGGGAAAAAAACGATACTGACATTGGAAGCCAGTGTTGTTGGATTGATGTCTGCCATGATGGTGGGTGTTTGCTTTTGAAGATGAAAATTATTTATTTATTATTTTGCTCTTAACGGTATTTTTTTGCATTAAACAACATACTAAAAAATCATCGTATAGTCGTAAAGAATAATTGCCGCCGAAACGAAATCCCGAAGGCCGAGTATGACTCCACAACCAATTGCACGTGATAATTTTGTTGGCCGCTAGCCGATGGGCGTAGTCCAATTCGATGCCATCGTAATATTTCGGATTAATACGTTGCGCAAATAGATGGAGATCGTGTATATTGCCAGGGTTCTTTTTCTCGGAAGAACCGGGGTAGAGCTGGAAGCACGCTGGAAACTGTTGGGTGCACTTCCGTGGACAAAAATCGCACGTCATGAATGTGAGAAGTTGGAACAATTAACAAATACGCCTTCTAATATCGATTTATTTTTTTGCAAGAGTTGCAAAGTAATACGAAATATAAAATATATATGTATACAATCGTTATGGTGAAACGTTATACCAACCACACCGAACTTTTCTAGTTTCCCAGAAAGAAAACCGAGAAGTAGAAATTTTAATTTATAAAATTCAGACTGTTTTGCTTTTGAAAATAATGACTGAAAATGTCACATAGAAAGTAATCAAAAGAAGGTGAAATAAGTGGCTAATTTGAAAAATACAGAACCGACGAAATATATTTCACTGTGGTGAATTGGTAATTATTAAAAAACTTTAATTCGAATTCTAACAATTCTAAATAAATAATATTGTGGAAATTGTTCTGAGATAGATTTAAATATAAGGTCTATATGGGGTTACATTGAGCAGGGATCCGACTTAAGTCAAGGGCGTGCCATTTTGTTCGATTCTTGTTTCCATGTTAAAGGTGATTTCAAAATGCCATTCTCCTTGGAACACTCGTTCCTACTGGTAAAAAGCTAGAACAGTCGAATTTCAAAAGGTCATTCATCATAGACAGGACCTGTCACTAAGTGTAAGATCTGGACTATCCCTTCCTTCCTTTCTTCAAAACAATATCATGGAGCTTGTGCGGAGTCGATTTGCAGATCAAAATTCGACCCATGACGTATAACTAATATAGTATAAGAGCGCTATAAAAGTAAAAACTGTTTAGCATATCAATGAAAACCTGATCAATTACGTATATTTTGCTTACTGATAAAGCCATTCAGCCAGAAATGAGCCTCATAGCTGAAGATGAGTTTTCGATGAAAATCTGGATAACTTTTAAGTTGCTGCTCAGACCAATTCACGAACATACGACGATTTTGGTGGCCAAGCTCTTGTGTCAATTGAGAACGAGGTGCTAGAGACTTAAAGTTGAGGTCACTGACTCCCAATTTCGATAGTAAATTTTAATAGCTTCGACCCGTTGGACAAGTAGAACCAAACCAGAACTTTGGAAAACGAGGAAACGTCTGAAGTCCTTTGCAGGGATTTATAATAATAAAATTTAAGATTCTCAGTATCAAATTTATTTTTCTGAAATCATTTTCTTTTACCAGGCTTAATTATGACCCGAGAGCATACAATGTTTGCCGCAGGAATTGTTGTTGGTGTGGTGGGCCACATGTTGCAATTTACTACCAAAAATTGTGATTAGCTTCGATTGACTGAGTAGGCATAACAATACTCTAATGAACAAGCAACCAATTGGAAAAGTTTATTAACATTTACATATTTACAAATGTCTATGAACATACAACCATAAAATCAGTTGCACTGCTTTGCGGTCGACAAACCACCAAACCACAGGAAATGGAAATATTTTGTTGGCATTGGATGGATGTTTGTTGGTGAATGGTATGTGGCCTTTCATACCCGGCAGGGATAAGACATACGTCAGAAATCTCACTAATTGTTTGCAGCTCTATCTGCCAATATTCAATAGCAGATATGAACAACTGTAGTGGACTTGGCTATGAGATGAAAATTATCTTAATTACTAGATATTTGTGTGATCTGTATAAGTTGGGGGTTATGAGTTCACGGTAAAATGCATATATTCTAAGTTTGGAATATTCCTAGTGGGTGGGGCGTTAGGTATATGTGACCATCGTTGTTAATATGTAACTACACACACATACATAAGTATGTATTCATAAAAACTATACATTTGGAAAAAATATTTGGCTAGCAAATCAAGTATAGTATATCAAGTGAGTATATTTACATATGTACATGCATTTATGGGTACATTTACACATTTCACTTTCCTCCACCGGAACACAAAAACAGTTGCGGCATCTTGAATGAGAGGAAATGCGGCAATCTGTTCTTTTATATACATTTTTTTCTGTTTCTAAATTGGCTACAAATTGTGGCAAGTAAATAACCATATTGCGGATCTCAAGAGCAGAAGACAAAAAAAAAAAAAATTCTGCCAAACTCGTAAATAGCTTATAATGAAAGCTCTTTTCATGTTTCGTTAATTTAGACAGATTTAGATGTAGTTTGTGGTATTTCCGATCGATATTTATTTATTTGTGCTCGTAATTAATTACACAAATAAAGAATTTTAAAGAGTTTAAATTAAAATATGAAAATAGTTACCTTCGGCTGCACCGAAACTATAATACCCTTTACAAATACAAAATATTCCACACAAGAACTGGATTTTGATCAAACACTTTGTGTTATAGCTATAAGCTATAGTGATCCGACCCGAAACTTTTCTTCGCAAATTTGGCAATAGACCATGTCGAATTTCGTGAAGATATTTTGTCCAACAACTGAGCTTTCCATACAAGAAACTTGATGCTGATCGTTCAGTTATGGTAGCTATGTGCTAGAGTGATATGATATCAGCGGTTCCGACAAATAAGTAGCCTTTTGGAGAAAAAAGAACTTAAGCAAAATTTCAAAACTTGACCGACAAATACGCGTATATACAGACAGACAAGGGGCTAAATCGACTCAGCTCGTCACCTTGATCAGTTATAGTCTTTTTTTTATAAAGCTTACGATTTCGACGATTTCTTTTCGTGTGCTCCATAACTGCTGGCCAGCTAACCCGGTTCAGTATATAATCATATTATATTATCTGAAACTATAACATTTTCCCAATATTTCGTGTCCATCCTATTCCAAAATCGCTGCGCTGGCTTGGCGGTCAAGAAGGAATTAAAACAATTTTTAACATTCCGATATGAGTCGTTTACCCGTGAGGACGTTCTGCATTGACCGATTTCTATGGTTCAAAAGAATGATGCTTGATTCGTAGATTTCGTCAAGATCTTCAAACAATGAAGAAATATACGGTTTCTTAGTAGCATCAAAAATGCTCGTGTGCTTTTTCGACTTTGAAATGCAAACGTTATTCTTAAAAAAATATTAGTATTACCTATAAATAACGCGTTGGAATAGCAAGGAGTTTTAGCCACTTAAAAAAGTTATCCGGAGGCCTAATGATCTTCAACGCAATTACTTAGGATGGTGGGTTTGCCTTATTACATATATATCACTTGTCTTTAAATGTGTACGATATTTACCGTTATCAATGTCTATAAATTTATCGAAAGATTTTACCTAAAATATTCGAAGAACCGTTATTAATAACAGCGTTGTATCCTTGGCGTTTTCTTATGCTCAAGAACTTGAAATGCCATTGAGAAAGCTAAAGATTTTCAAATAAGTTTTTCCGATAGTTTTTAACATTGTATTTATCCTCTTCAATATTCCTTTTCGTCTATAGCAACCAATTTCAAACCACAATGTACTATAGTATGCTTCGAAAGGGTTGTGAGAAACGGGGAATTTTTCTCAGTTCCTTTATTTTTTTGTTTATTTGCTACAGTTACGTAGGTTGGCTTTATGTTTCAGGATTTGGCAATCCTAGCATGACATTTTTGATATTATACATTCTGACTATTTGACATACGGCCACAACAAGTGTTGTTTACAGTAACTTGAAATATTCATCTCGACCAAAATATGGAACTAAATCACGAACATTTTCGCGCGATTACTTTTTATAAACCTAGACGTGTAATAACTCATCAAGAGTACATAGATGAACTTAATTAATTTTTGAATATGAAACTCAGTCAAGGAGCAGTGTTTAAGCAAATGGATCTGAGTGATCCATAATTATGTTTCTGTCAGTTGATTTTGAACGAAGTAGCAAAACCAACCGCCGAAGACGGATCACTTTTCACAGCGATAACGAGTTCTCAAATATTGACTGAAGCAATTGAATTTGTGAGAACTCAAACCACTAATTGGGGTCGAATTACTTCACTCCCGTGGGTAAAAGATAAACTAATACTTCAAAGCTTTTCAACACTTAAAGAGGCGATTGATGGGTTCAGAACGCACGTTTTGGAGACACCTCAAAGAACGTGACAAAAGTGCTTCGAAAATTAGTTCAAGCACATGCAAAAGTATAGAAATCTTAATGGAATATGTTTAGAAAAACAAGAAGGCGATTTTCGATAATTAAAATTAATTGTTTTCTAATCCCGAAATAAAAAGGAACCTACTTACCTACGACCTCAGTTGAAACTAGTTACAGTTTCTAAAGCATCTTAACATTTACATATCTTTTTCCTGATTTTCTACTAAAAAAATAAAGATTATTTTCTAGAAAAAAAGTTAGAAAGAGATGCTTTTTGATAAGATATTAAATTTTATTGTATAAAAACGGCTTTAAAGACGTCTCTTGTCTCATATACTTGTAAACAGTAAATAAAAAAATAATAAAATAAATAAAACAAAAATTAAACTTAAAAAATTTTTAAATTACAGATGCCGTTATATGTTTTATGGTAGTTCTCGCATTAACCTCCATTGTTTGGAGCGTTACCATACATATAATTTCCGGTGACTTTTATCATGGCATTCTCGGCGCCAAATTGGCATTCCGTGAGCGAGATTTTCGACAAATGGATGAACATTCCAAAGAGATTTTCTACCATGACTTGGACAAATTGATAAATGAAACATATATCGAAATTGATGTGGACGAACAGGTAGAGGATGACGAAACCACGCTGACGCCATTGGAATCTAATGGTAATACAAAAACTTTTCATATTTGTCAATATTTACTAATTTAGAAAAACTAATTTAGCCACCACCAAGCAGCCCAAGGTGCGCAAAACCTATCACATTTTCCAATTGGTACGACCCGACAAAGACGAAAATAAATCCGAAGAGGACGTGTTGTCGGAGGAGGTGAGCACTACGGCGCTGCCAGCTGCGAAATTCAATATGACGCATGATCGCCAGTTTTTGGCTACAAGTACGTACAGTAGTGAAAGAATTTCGAAAAAATTGCTAATTTCAAATATTTACTTTCGAGGAGACCATGTGTAGTTTAGCTGCCTTGTTTACATTACTTACAAATTTACTTACATCGCAAATATTGTTCTAAATTTTACCTCCTTATTTTATTTTTTTGTCTAATTGTGAATTTTGCTTTGCAGTGATGCTGGACGTACACAAAACACGTTGGCGCCAAAGCGCCGCCGTTCAATTCATTTATAGCTTTCCTTTTTTGTCGGAAATCTTTGCGATAATATGGACTGCAATGTGTTTAATATTTCAATCGGGTGTGCAAAAATATTGGTGAGTAAACAATAAAATTGCTTTTTAGAGAGTGTTACTAAACTTGCTAGTGTAAGATCGTCCGACGCGAATTTTAATAGACTCTGAGGCATCTTTACCGATACCTCCTCCAGTATATTATACCGCGAGGGTCCCAGATACTTACATCATAGTCTTGCCAATGCGGGACAAGTGCACAAGAGTTGCTCCATTGTTTCCCTGGTGAGGTTATTTAAACATTTCCAGCAGTATTCTCGATCTGTCAGCCCCATTGTGCGAGGCCGTCACCAGACAGTAACCAGTTAGTATTCCGATCATGTTTCTACAGTCTCTGCTATGGAGTGGCAATAGGAATTTTGTGTACTTCCGATCTATCGGGTCCACTATTTCAATGTATAAGTGAAGTTGCTTATTTCTTCCAACACTTCTCCCTGCTTCCAAGACACTTCTGGCCGATAAGGCCGATACGAGGTTACTGCCTTGATTACTGCTTGGCCGTCTACGTAGATATTGACTCTGAAATTGCCTACATCTGCATTAGAGCCAGCTCCGCGGCTTTCTCAGTAGGTTGTCTCTGGACAGTACATTCCCGCACCAACTCCATTGTCCACTTTCGACCCTTCAGTATGGCGATTTAGAGTGTTGCGCGTAGCTAATATACGCTTATGCCAGACAACTTTTTCTAGTTTACTTTGAGTTTAACCACCGAGCTATGCCTAAATGTTCTATATTCTCTTGCAGCCATAGTCGTCTCGCCGATTTTGCTGCGCAGTTTTCAACAAAGAGGTCTATAAGTAGCAAGTTTAATAAAAGTTCAAGAGCTATCGTTGGATTTATTCTTAAAGCTCTTGTTATGCTACCCTTTTCATTGGCTTCCGATAGGTGGATTTCCTTGCGCCTGTCCCCCATACTGCAGCAGAATTGGTCTAACAATAGCTGTGTAGCATCAGTGTATGAGAGAGGGAGAGCCGCCAGGTTAAAGCATTGCTAGCTTTCCTCACTCTTTCCTCCACGTTGTGCTTCCACAGCAGTTTGCTGTCCAAGATACTTGGTGCGGTCCTTGAAAGAGACCTATGCCCCATTTATCGAAGGGAACCTCTTTGGAAGAACTTTGGTGCTTTCTTGTGAACACAAGCAGATCCGTATTCTCTGGCTTCAACCGCAGACCCGCTTGCGATGCCCAGTTCTGGACTGTATTGAGAGTGGGGGTCATTATTACTGCTGATGATCTGTAGACCCCTACTCGTAATTTATATGGCAATGTCATCCGCATACGCCACTATCTTAGGGCCTTAAGTTACGTATCAGTTTATTCACCACTAATACCCATAGAAGCGGAGAGGGCACACCTCCTTTCAGAGTATCTCTTAGTCATTTTAGATTCGTTCCATTCTGCTTTTATCCTAGCTGCCATACAAACTGAACAATTAAAATATAATTCTTGTGTGGAAAACTTTTAAATTTGACAACTAGCACCTCCTAACTTCAACTTTATAAGCAAATCCATCATATAATATAATTACAAAATCTGTTTCACAAAATACCATATTTCTTCACAGGGGACTTCCGAAACCGTGGCGTATTGTCATACCCTCCATACTGGTATTCTCCCTCATGACACTGGGTACGCTGATCTACACAATTTTGGCCAGCACCTATTTAAAGAATCTCTGCAATGGACTGCGTGAAAATTTGACAAAGCCCGATGCGATCACGTGAGTAAAGAGCAAAAGTTTTCAATTTATTTATTACTCTCTTTCATGCATTTCCTACCATTACACCCACAGCTGCGGCCAAGCCATCTCCGTGCTGCGTCCCTTCATTCGACAACACGAATTCAAACACGATGTCTACTTGAATCTCTTCCGTTTCGCCTACATGTTCGCTTTGGTCTTGTGGCTGCTGGCACTGCTGTTGATGTTGCTGCGCTACTTCTTCGCCATCGATTTCCAACTGTTGGATGTACAATCCTTGTATGATAACAAATTGGCGCGTCGTTTAAGCCGTCCGGAACCGGAGTTTACGGAGGTGCTCTTGGACACAGCTCAGTCGCCCACTCTGCTACTGCCACGCCACGATCGCAACAAGTCGGAGGATGATTTTCAAAGTGCCAAGTCGAATTTGAGTGAAGTGGCAATGCCGTTAATCGACACCGGCAAGCCACGTTCAGTGCTGGTGCAGTATGCGCCAACGCAGCAACGCGTGGTTTAGTTTATACAGCACCTGACACTGTTAAGTAGAGGCTTAACCAAATCTAAGTATGTACAGGCGACAAGGTGGGAGACGCGTATAATTTTGCGCAGAAGCGTTTCAAAACAGTTTTACCTCAGGAATCTTATTTAATTGAAAACTGCACAATTTCTCACTCCAAGTTTTCGCTGCCGCTATTAAATATTTACAACACATACTCGTATGTATGTATATATGTGTATGTATTTATGCATCACCAACATTCTGTAAAGCCAACTTCGGCTCTACTGTGCAGTTGAATGATATTATTTTAATAAATAAATAAAATTATACAATTCAAGTATTCAGACAACCATCGCGGCTAAACAAAAACAACATACCTACGAGATGGCCGCAACTCTGTAATATTTACCTTAATGCATTATTTTATTTCAAATATTATTTATTGATTTTTATATGAATTTTTAGTGCTTTTAACCACTGTGTGCGTGTATAACAGAAATATATTATGTAATAAAACTAATTAAAGTATAAATGTGAAAAAAAATAGTTCAATTGTGCATCAAACTACTGCGGCGCTGATTTAGACTATTTTGGTGGTGATAGTTTTGGTCTCCAGATAATTGTTCAAACCATCGCGACCCATCTCACGTCCGATACCAGATTGCTTGTAGCCGCCGAACGGTGCTTGTGGCAGCACTGCACTGTAGCAGTTGATCCAAACGGAACCGGCATCCACGTTGTTTGCGAATTTCGTCGCTTTGTTGATGTCATTGGTAAGAATGCCAGCGGCTAGGCCGTATTCCACGTCGTTGGCGCGATCGATAATCTCTTCAATGTCGCTGAATTTAAAGATTGACATAACCGGTCCAAAGATCTACAAAAACGAGTTTCTATGAGTACTTTGGAGTCATTTTGGAGAAAGCGTTAGTGCACACAAGAGAAGTTAAGCCAAAAGCCGCAATAGAGCTCAGCTTTAATCAAGACCTGTTCACCACTGAAAAATACTTCATATATCCCAACTTTACATCGAAAGTTTTCCATATATTAGATTTAAAAATAAGCAGTTCTTGTTGTCAAGCTTCGGATATTTTAGATTAGATGGTACAGAGTATTTTGCAATCCTAGCTAATTAGATGGGGTCTCTACATGCACCCTGTCCCACCGTTTGAGGTTTTGAAAAATAGAAAATAAGGATCTAACTTTATCCGAACAAAGCTTCTCAGTAGTTTTGTAAAAGTTTTGAAAATTGATATTATCCCCCAAAACCTTACTCGATTTTTGCTAAATCTGCCTGTGAACTTATCAAAACTAAACTGTATTCACCCGCAGCATAGAAGCATAACTTACCTCTTCCTGTGCGATTCTCATTTTGTCTGTAACATCGGAGAACACCGTTGGTTCGATAAAGTAACCGACATTGCCGACGCGCTTGCCACCACATTGCAGCTTAGCACCCTGTTTTTGGCCAATTTCAATATAACCCAAAATTTTGTTCATCATTTCCTCATCGATTTGTGGACCGTGATTAGTTGACGCCTCGAAAGGATCACCAATTTTACGAGCCTTTGCCAAAGCCACAGATTTTTTAACAAATTCATCGTAGATCTTCTCGTGCACATAGGTGCGTGTGCCGGCGCAACAAGTTTGACCTTGATTGGGGAAAATTGCGTCGTGTGTTAACTGCACAGCTTTGTCAACTGAATACAAAAAAAAAAAAATAAAATAAAAAAAATTCAATTTAATTTCAATGTACTTGGAATATGTTAACAACAACTTACCATCAACATCGTCGAATACCACAAATGGACTCTTGCCACCTAATTCCAGCGTAACACGCTTCAAATTTGACTTGGCTGCCGCCTGCATAATGATGCGTCCAATTTCTGCGGAACCAGTAAATGCGACCTTCTGTATATCGTGATGTTCTGATATCGCAGCACCCGCGGTGGGGCCGTAGCCGGGAATGACATTGATGACACCAGCAGGAAAACCAGCTTCCTTAGACAAAGCGGCCATATGAAGAGCGGTAAGTGGTGTTTGTTCAGCGGGTTTCATGACAATCGTACAACCGACAGCGAGAGCGGGTGCCCACTTCCATGCCAACATAACCAGGGGATAGTTCCATGGAATGATTTGACCAGCCACACCAATGGGTTCTTTACGTGTCTGTACAACGAAATCACCACCGGGTATGGTGTCACCGAAAAACTTATCGGTCCAGCCGGCATAGTATTTCAATGCCATAATGGCGAACATGACATCACCTATGGCCGATGTGAATGGCTTGCCATTGTCCTGTGTCTCCAAGCTAGCCAAAATGTATTTGTCACGTTCCATGAGACTGCAGAGCCTGTTTGTTTAAAGAGGTGTGGAGTAAGATAATTGGTTATCGAAATGGAAAGCAAGTGAATTACGCACTTTTCGATGAGCGCTGTACGTTCGAGTGGGCTCAGTTTGCGCCATGCTGAGTTCCTATGGAATGCTTTCTTAGCGGCAGCTACAGCCAAGTCGACGTCAGCCTGTGAGAGATGATTGAAAAATTATTTAAAAAAGTATTATGAAATATTTTCTTACTACAATTAACAAGTTTTTATTACTCACCTTATCACCCTCCGCAATTTGGGCAATCACCTTGCCAGTTGCTGGATTAATAGTTGGAAACTTTTTTCCAGAGACGGCGTCAACGAACTCATTGTTGATGAAAAGCTGAAAATATATAAATAATATAACTTAATACTTAGTCTCATAAAGGGGTTCGTGGGGTTTTTGTTCGCACTCTATGCTCTATAATGATATGCTAGTCTAAATTGTGAACGAGAACTTCACTAGCCTTCAGAGCAATGGGCTTTCAAACAAACTAAGAGACAAACTTTACAGATATCAACTATCTCGAGTTTTTTGTAGGAAGCGGACTGTTTTTATTTCGAGTGAATATGTGTAATGAGATGGGCTCTTAAGATCTGTGAAATAGGTAGTTTATTTTTGCAACTTCGATCTGTGGAAAGATGAATATGGTCGTGCAGCACCAAGCATTATTGGCGATGTTTAAATATTCATCATAGAAAGACTTTCGCTTGAACAACGTTTACAAATCGTATGGTCAACATAATCGCCCTACCGATGGACTGTGGAGAGTCGATTCGGCGCCGTTTGCAGCAGCTGGACGCACTGAACGATTTGGCACATTTTACGTCGAGATCTTAAATTGAAAGCCTACAAAGTACAGGTTGTGCAAGAACTGAAGCCGCTCGGTCTTCCGAAGCGACATCACTTCGCCCTATGGGCTCATGAAAAGTTCAGACGTTTTCGAGTCAAATTTTGTTCAGGGATGAGGCCCATTCTCTGATCGCCATTTACTTGGGAGTGGCCAGAAACGATTCTTTTACATATGGCTCAAGCAGCTCACGACTTCCGGTCTTTGACCAAGTATCCTCTGGGTAGCCTAAGAACATCCGTTTGAAGGCGACCTAAAGTGCATAGGGTTTTGCGCTGGGTTTGGGACCCGCCACGTAAAAAAAAACCCCAATGAAAATTAATAATCAGCCTTGCTGTTGTTAGCTCGGCTATAATCGTGTAAGCGGAAGAAGAAGAATATCTATATATACATACATATATATATATACTAGAAGACCCGTCCACATTTTACTGTGGCTAATACATAGGTAGCACAACTAATATCATCTATATGATTTTTATTATTTAGATTATAACTATTAGTTAAGGAGATATCGCATTTTTGGTGAAGCAACTTGTGTTAGTTTGAAAAAAAAAATTAATCAGAAAGCATATCGTGCGTTAAGTCGTGCATTGTTTTTTGGGGTTGAATTTGGGCTGTGCACTAGTGAAATCAATCGAGTCGAGTAATCCTAATGGACTGCATCTTACTCGTATGAAACGCTTCTCTTACGTGGCAAGACAAAAAATCGGCTGGAAAGGTTATGGCATCAGTCTTTTGGGATGCCCGTGGTATACTATTCATCGAATGATTACTGAGCCAGTTTTAATTCATTGCACTGTGCATTTGGTTGCTGTTCTATTTCACTTTTCCCAATATTTAGCAATTTTATTATTTTTTAGGAAAGATCAGTTTGAAATATATATACTACAGCGTTACCGTTTAAATATTGCACTGCTCTGTGCAATGCTTCGAATGTAATGGCTATCCATAGATGTAGGTACTGAATCATCCAATATATTACTTAAGAACGAACAACCCTGTTCACATTACTAAAACTTGCTATTGTTCTACAGATGTCGCCTTTTGAGGTTTGAATATTGGATACTGCGATGGTAGCGCTGTCTATCGGATCCAATGTAAAAAATTCCTAAATTAGCAATTAATTACAAATGAAAAATGAGATTCAAAAAACATTTTCCAGTGGATCAAATTGTAAATCTAAACCATTCTCGAATCTTCTTGAACACACAAAAAAATTTCATCAAAATCGGTCCAGCCGTTTAGGAGCAGTTGTTCAATTACAAACACACGGAAGGAAGATTTATATACATATATAAAGATTTATGTACATACATAATACAATATATAACTTCTAATCTTTTACAATCACTTTATCGATCTAAATAGTTTAGAATGTGTTTATTTGGAAGATCGAGAAATATCTAATAAAATCCGTTCTTGTATTGGACAGCATTGAAGGAGTATGGGTTGGAAAAGCTTCGGTTGACTGCACCATTTATACTAATATTTTAATTATTAAGAAAGCATCCTATTCTAATTACAAAAGTGTGACTGACAAGTTTGAATAATATTTCGTGAGCCTGGAAAAAGGTTTATCAATTTCATATGTTTTTGAAGTTTTTGAAAACCAAAGATCGTTTGCAATAACGAAAAAGCTGTAGCTCCAGCTTGCGGAGAGACAAAATATACTGAATATGAACTAATGACTCGACAAATTCCATTCAATCTATAAGCAAACAAAGCGATGTACTCAAGACGCCTGCTATTGATAGTCATGATCGAGATGTATGATCAACCAATAATTTAGTTTTGAAATATTGCAATTATATCATTTAATTTAAGGCTTTTATTAAGCACCTATCGATTCTGGCACTTACGAAATAAAAATTCTTATCAGTAAGCAATGACTTGCAAAAATTATATTTTTTTCTGTTGCCATAGAATGTCGATCACGTCATGTTTTGCCGATTTCACTATTGATATTCTATAAATATAATTAATCAAGTTACAGGTAGAATTTTAAATTGATTTTATTTTAGATATTTAAATAATAGTACCCTGCAAATCAGCGCGAGCTCTATAATAACAGCGCGACTGATAATTTTATGTATCATGATAATTATGCTGATAAATTTATAACGATTAAATATCGACAACTTTTCATAGTTCAAACTTTTATATTTATGTATGTATGGATATTTCACAATATTATACATACGGACTCTCAACATTTCATAGTTCAATTTTAATATATTTATCCTTCAATATATTGTACTTACGCACGCTCCAGACGTACCTACATATCTACATATGTATATACATAGGAATCGCAATCTTAAATCAAGCATATATTAACTTCATGGATCTTACGATATGTAGATAACAGTTGTTATAAATATACAGTAGTTATAAATATGTATTGAAAATAAAATAATTTTTAATACATTTTTTTTTATCTAATCGCAGTTGGTATTATATAATGGGACGACATTGGCTTAAATATACCAAAATTGCACATTTTCAAGATTTTTGTTTTTCAAAAGATGAAACATCGAACGTAAAAATGTTGGTATTTTAAGACAAAAACAAGAAAAAACCTTAATTTCGGTTGTTTCGAAGGTGTAATTCCATTCACAGGTGCGAAAGATTCCTTACGAAAAATTTTATTGGTCAGTTTGTATTTCAGTTCTACGCTACAGCTACTTGATCTGAACAATAATTTCGGAGATCGCACAATTAACTTCAGCAATAAGTTTTGCAAAATTTTGTGAAAAATTCTTCATAAATATACAATAAATATTAAGTATAAAAGCACTTGATTCCGACCGAACATTTTGTATGGTAGATGGATGCTCTAGTGATCCGATTTCGGCCATTCCGACAAATGGTCAGCTTCTTGTTGCAAAGCGAATGGAGTTTAAAAACATAATCTCAAAAGGGTGGACGAATGTACTGACGGACAGGACTAAATCAACGCAACTCGTCAAGCTGATCATCTACTTGTATATACATATATATATATATATTATAGGGTCTCAGGCGTTTCCTTTTGGGTGTTTATCTTAGTATAAGAGGATTTCCCCGCGACCTTAGGTCTATTACAAACATCATGATAAACTTAATCTTATTCAGTGCATAAATATTATTTAGCGCAGAAATATATATTTCAATTTATGTAAGTTATTTGTGAAATTAAAAATGCTGGCCAGAAATTTTTATGATTTTCAAAGTTATTTCTGATAAGTAGAGACCAAAATATCCCCAAAATCATAAAAAAAAAAATAAATACATTCAATCTCACTTCTTTTGTAACATATTTCTATACCTTCTAGCGCTTGTGTCGGAGGAAACATTATGAAATTAATTTCATTCAAACCCTGCTTTGCAGTTACCTGTGTATATTTTGGTACTTCATTTGGATTAGCCATGACGTTTGTTGTTTTCACGATTAATTATTTAAAATATTTATTTTTTATATTTAGAACACTTCCCGCACCGGCTTAGGTACTCTAAGAACTAATTTCACCACAATTTCGTCTGCAGCACAGGCACAACTAAAATTGCTGATTTGTGGCCGCTTTTTATAAGTTAGCCGACAGTCTTTACAACAAAGAAGCAACTAATTCTCTGCACTTACTCTATAGAACGCATGCCGGCCAGTCCGTAGCCTATTCTGATCACTCTCTTCATGTTGTTGATAATCATTGTTATACCCTGAACAGGGTATATTAAGTTTGTCACGAAGTTTGTAACACCCAGAAGGAAGCGTCGGGGACCCTATAAAGTATATATATATAAATGATCAGTATGTTGAGCTGAATCGATTTAGCTATGTCGGTCTGTCCGTCTGTCTGCCTGTATAGAAACGAACTAGTCCCTCAGTTTTTAAGATATCGTTTTGAAATTTTGTACACGTCATTTTCCCTTCAAGAAGCTGCTCATTTGTCGGAACTGCCGATATTGGACCACTATAACATATAGCTGCCATACAAACTGAACGATCGGAATCAAGTTCTTGTATGGAAAACTTTCACATTTGACAATGTATCTTCACTAAAGTTGGCACAAGTTATTGTCTAAGGCAACAATGTAATCTCCGAAGAGATGTTGTTCAGATCGGATTACTATAGCATATAGCTACCGTACAAACCGAACGGTCGGAATCAAGGGCTTATATGGAAATCTTTCGCATTTGACGTGGTATCTTCACGAAATTTGGCATGGATAACTGTTTAAGGTAACAATATAATCTCCGAAAAAATTGTTAGCTTCTTTACAAACTGAACACATATGTAGCTACTAACATAAATGCACCTGTGAAGGGTATTTATCTTGGGGGCAACCGAAATTAACGTTTTTTCTTATTGTTGACTATTATTGTTATCACGCTACTTGTTGGCAAGGAGAACACCGAAGAACTATGACTGAGCGCGTTAGCAAAGCGCGATAAAGTGTAGGTACATATGCATGTATGGTATGTACATATGTATGTATGTATGTCTCTGAACACATAAATTCTTACGCATAAATAATTACTTTTTTTTTTAATGCTAATAGAAAAGGTATTAAAAGTTAACTGATAGATACATACACAATCTCTACAAATAACTGAAAACCGGCCTTTTGCTTCTAACTTTTTATGTAAGTGTCTAGGTTAACACAATTAGCATAACCGAAAAAAGCTGTATATATTAGTTGTCTAATTCATATGTCCGCCACTGTAAGTAGTGTGCCAATGACGTGCCAAAATTTTGTTTGCCGCTCTCTCAACTGCTAGCGGAAAAACAAATATGTTACAGTGAACTCTCGTAAGACGGCCAATTTCCAATAATTTTAATTATACTCTCGCAACAAAGTTGCTAAAGAGAGTATTATAGTTTTGTTTTTATTTTATTTTATTGCTATTTGTGGTGTAAGCCCAACCAAAAAGGCTAAATATAATATATTCAGTTGATGTGGAAAACGTGAATCGTAATCTTTTATAGGAGGGATATTCGGTTTAGCTAAAGGTATATACCAATTCCATTCTAATTCACCGCTAAATCGCAATATTTTTAAGAACACTTTTTCATTTAGTTTCATTTTGACCAACGTGAAAGATTAGAATACAGGTGGAAAGACGGAAATTATTTTATGGTGTATTTTGAGGGCAGAGAAAGAGATGAGCTGACTGTATTAATTTTGACATTACTCAAGTGTACCTACGAACATATTTAGAAAAAAATTATATATAAATAATACTCACTGGCCGACATATTCAGCACAAAACTTGTTAGAATAACGAAAATCAATATAAGTTCTTCGTATATTCTAGATCACGTCAAGTGGGGGGTTCCCATTTCATCATGAAAATTAAGTCCATATATTTTTTTCATAAGTAGTCACTATGGAAAATTGATCCCTCAAAGGATTTTAAAAAATTTTAATTTTAATAACAATTTTTTTTACAATTAAAATGTTTGAATTTTTAATTAAAAATTAGATTTAATAACAACCGTTAAAGATAAATTAATGAAATTTGAGGATTTACTGTCAAGTGTATATATTTCAAGAAAACATAAATAAATGAAATTTATTTGTTTACTATCATATTGTTAATTAACTTTTAAGTTAACAAATGAAAATTTCATTGATTTCTCGGTCAAAATTTTGTATTTTTTTTCATCAGTCACATGCGTTATTTACCGAAGCTCAAGATTCCGAAAGAAAATTTCACTGCTCGCGATTAGTTTAAACAATATGAATTTATTTATCACAGCGCGCCGGGCTCCAAGCGCTGTCAGTACACCGTGCGGCCGAGCGTCAGACTATGTATAATGCAGCTTCAAGTAATTATAATTACAAATAACAAGTTAACATATAATTATGAAATTAATTTTATTTGTATTATTATGACTAATACAATAAATAAACTTTTGATTATCAAACAACAACTACAAAAACCAAGCGGTAATTAAATATTATAATTTATATACTTCGTAATCTATATACTTTTTTTAAGATTAAAAGACTTGATTCAAATCTCAGTTTGCGTGCAACCAACATCATCATGTTTCTTTTTAACATGTAAACAGTGTCCAGAGATTGATTTCGTCATTAAGAAATTAAAATTATTGATTGGTAGTCATAAGATAAAGGAAATAACTTTTAGCCAATGGAAAAGTATTGACTGGTGAGAAAAAAAAATTTTGACAAAAAAAATAAAAATAAAAAAATTGGTTGATACAAAAGTTTAAAATTCTATTTCATTATTTTGTACAGTCATAATTTTTTTCAAATTTTTTTTCAAATTTTTTTCACAGTTCTTACACATTCGTTTTAAATTTTACAGGACTGAAATCATTGAAGCGACATATACCAAAGAATATTTCTTAAGTGAGCTGAAAAATAAATGGTCAGAGCTGTTGAAACATGATTTTGTAGCAAAATCTCAAGCGTCTTTTTTCTCTAACCAAAAGGAATCTGTTGAATCTAGAGGATTTATATTTTGTCTAGATTTCTCAGAAAATTATTCATTTTTTGTTCAAGACGCTATCCAGTCACATCATTGGTCTAATGATCAGGCTACACTTCATCCGTACGTCGCATATTACAAGGAAAATGAAGAAATAAAGCATGAAAATTTTGTAGTGATTTCTGAGAAAGTTAGTCACGACGCAAGTTCGGTCCATCTTTTTAATGCTAAACTTATTGAATTTTTAAAAAATAAATTTGGTGCTGAGAATGTAAAAAAAATTAAGTACTTTTCACAATATAAAAATAAATATAACTTTGCCAACTTAATAAATCATGTAAATGATTTTGGTGTTGAAGCTGAATGGAATTTCTTCGCTACCTCTCATGGAAAAGGGGGCTGTGACGGCTTAGCAGGAAGTGTAAAAAGACAGGCTTACCGTCCTAGCCTTCAACGTGACAAAAATAATCACATTATAACACCAAGTTCCTTTTTCCAGTGGGCGAAAAGTTCATTTAAAAAGGTTGATTTTGCTTTTTGTTCTCAAAAAGATCATGAATTACATGAACAAAATTATCAACAACGGTTTCAACGGGTAATTACAATAAAAAAATACTCGTCAATTCCACTATTTTAGACCGTTGGATGATATATTACTAGGATGTAAACTTGTGTCATACGATGAGAAAGTTTTCACTAAAAAAGTCTTTGAAAATACGGACATACTATTATCAGGAAACATTTCTCTCTAAAATTCACTTATATTGAATATAATAGAATAAGATTTGATAACATAAGCTGAAGGCCCTGGCAGCCAGTGCTTTATATCTATAAGTGGAACGATTATTTATAATTATTTCTCTTTTAAATAAATAAATAAATAAAAAATAAGTCACTTATACATATACCTCATATATTAACCGATACTTTCTGCCGAAAGCAAACTATAGGTACTTCTTCTTCTTAATTGGCGTAGTCACCGCTTTCGCGATTATAGCCGAGTTAACAACAGCGTACCAGTCGTTTCTTCTYTTCGCTACGTGGCGTCAATTAGATATTCCAAGTGAAGCCAGATCCTTCTCCACTTAGTCCTTCCAACAGAGTGGAAACCAGGTCCTTCTCCTCTTCCTCTGCTTCCCCCGGCGGGTGCTGCGTCGAATACTTTCAGAGCTGGAGTGTTTTCGTCCGTCCGGACAACATGACCTAGCCGGCGTAGCCGCTGTTTTTAATTCGCTGAACTATGTCAATGTCGTCGTATATCTCGTACAGCTCATCGTTCTATCGAATGCGATATTCGCCGTGGCCAACGCGCAAAGGACAATAAATCTTTCGCAGAACTTTTCTCTCGAAAACTCGCAACGGCCAGTCATCTGTTGTTGACATCGTCCAAGCCTCTGCACCATATAGCAGGACGGRAATTATGAGTGACTTATAGAGTTTGGTTTTTGTTTGTCGAGAGAGGACTTTGCTTCTCAATTGCCTACTCAGTCCGAAGTAGCACCTGTTGGCA